TATTTATTTATTTGAGAGAGAGAATGAGATAGAGAGCATGAGAGGAGGGAGGGTCAGAGGGAGAAGCAGACTCCCCACTGAGCAGGGAGCCCGACGTGGGACTCGATCCCGGGACTCCAGGATCATGACCTGAGCCGAAGGCAGTCGCTTAATCAACTGAGCCACCCAGGCGCCCCAGTCGGTGAAACTCTTGATCTCAGGGTTATAAGTGTGAGCCCAAGCTCCTTGCATCGGACTCCTTGCGCCGCGGACAGCCTGCTTCCCTCGCCTGCCACTCCCCCTGCTTGTGTGGGCGCTCTCTCTCTCTCTCTCTCTCTCTCTGACAAATAAATATAATCTTTAAAATAAAATGAAATATTTTTTAAAAAATATCACAGGGTAAAAAGTGAATGCTAGAAATAATCTACTCTAATCCAACCTCTCATCATAAATAAATTGGGGGTACATGATTAGTTGTCTTTCTTTCTTTCTTTCTTTCTTTCTTTCTTTCTTTCTTTCTTTCTTTCTTTCTTTTTTTTTTAAAGATTTTATTTGTTTATTTGTCAGAGAGAGAGACAGCGAGAGCAGGAACACAAGCAGGGGGATTGGGAGAGGGAGAAGCAGGCTTCTCACCGAGCAGGGAGCCCAACGCGGGGCTCGATCCCAGGACCCTGGGATCATGACCTGAGCCGAAGGCAGACGCTTAACGACTGAGCCACCCAGGCGCCCCAGTTGTCTTTCTTTTCTACAGATGAAGAGATAAATTTGGAGTTATAAATGACAGCTGCAATGTCATGACAACTTTAGTATAAAAGTTATTTTTGTATTTTGATTGCTCAGGGTCAAGATTACCTTGATCCACACAGTTGGATCAAGTAAGTTGTTGTCAATGGAAAAGATTTTTTTTAAAGATTTTTTTATTTTTATTTATTTGAAAGAGAGAGAATGAGAGAGAGAGAGCACACATGAGAGGGGGGAGGGTCAGAGGGAGAAGCAGACTCCCCGCTGAGCAGGGAGCCCGATGCAGGGCTCGATCCCGGGACTCCAGGATCATGACCTGAGCCGAAGGCAGTCGGGTAACCAACTGAGCCACCCAGGCGCCCCTAATAAAGCAATTTTAAGGCAAAGTTGAATCACTCATAATACCTAACAAGGGCTTATATTTCTTATCATAGATAAGAAAGCACATAAGTGGCCAAAACTTCCCCAAACTGTGTTCATTAATACTCACTTGTCTGATGGATTATACAGATGGTAGCAAATGCAACTGAGCCTTGCTTGCTATTTTTCAACATGTGTAGTACAGTTGTGATGTGTAATGTCTTAGTTGTGCAGTTTTCTGTGAGCTAACGTAGTAACCAGGCCAAATTTTTTTAAAGGCTTGTATAAACTTTCTAAATGATTCCACATTTTTAAAAGAACTTCTAATATATGCACAGAGATAGTGGGGAAAGCTTTATTCTGAGTTGTCACAAAATTTGAGTTAATCTAGCAGTACAAGTTAACTCCATGCCATCCAATTTATCAAAATTTTGTATATAACATGTTTACATGGCATGTTTTTTTAATTACAGGCCTTTAATAGTTTTATTTTTTTAATTGTGTTTATTCATTTGACACAGAGAGATAGCGAGAGAGAGAGAGAAAGAGAGAGAGCACAAACAGGAGTGGCAGGCAGAGGGCGAGGGAGAAGCAGGCTTCCCGCTAAGCAGGGAGCCCGATCCCAGGACCCTGGGATCATGACCCAAGCCAAAGGCAGACACTTAACCAACTGAGCCACCCAGGCACCCCTAAATGTGTTTTTAAAAAATAAAATCAGAATTAAACACTCAGGATCCTAAAATACTTGTATTCTTTTTGAAAACCATTGTTCCATTTTAATAACAGTTTTTAAAAAATTAATTAGGGGCACTTGGCTGGCTCATTTGGTAGAGTGTGCAACTTTTGCTCTCGGGATCGTGAGTTCAAGCCCCACGTTGGGCATGGAGCCTACATAAATAAATAAATAAATAAATAAATAAACAAACAAACAGACAAACAAACAGGGGCACCTGGCTGGCTTAGTTGGTGGAGCATGTGCCTCTTGATCTCAGAGTTGTAAGTTCAAGCCCTACGTTGGATGTAGAGATTACTTAAAAATAAAATCTTTTAAAAATAAATAAATAAAATAGAATAATAATTTAATTAAAATAAGAATATCTGAAAGCAGAAATTCACACTGAAGAACTTATTACCAAAATGGTGAGGAAAATCACAACGTATCACCTCTTTTACTCAGAAGTCTAGGGTTCACTTGAGATCTTGCTTGTACCCTGAAGAGACATTCTCTCATTCATTTAACAAATATTTAGTAGGTGTCAATGTCCCTGTCATTGTTGTAGGGGCTGATGATTCAGCAGAGAACAAGTGAGAACAAATCCTTGCTCTCTCCAAATTGCATTCTTTTTGTTTTTTAAGATTTTATTTATTTATTTGAGAGAGAGAGCACGAGAGGGAAGAGGATCAGAGGGAGAAGCAGACTCCCCCGCTCAGCGGGGAGCCCGATGTGGGACTCGATCCCGGGACTCCAGGATCATGACCTGAGCCGAAGGCAGTGGCTTAACCAACTGAGCCACCCAGGCATCCTCCAAATTGCATTCTAACAGGTGGCAGGGACTATTTTGATAGGAACCGTCAGGAAAGGCCTCAGTAAGGCGATCAGAATGAAATGCGGACCTGAACCACGGGACTATCTAGCGGAAGAGTTTTCTGAACAGAACAGAGCACAAAGGCTATAGGGGAGGAGCCTGAGGAGTCCTCGTTGTCTGGAGCAGACAGATATCTGGGGGTATCTGGTGGGAAATATTGTCACAAAGGAAGGCAAGGAGAAGATAATGTAGTGCTTTGTGCCCAGAAGGGACTAGGTTTTTAGTCTAAGTGAGATGAGGAACCACTAGGGGAGGGGATGTGATTTGACCTGACCTGTTTAAAAGGGTTATTCAAGCTGATGTGGGGAGAGGATGAGATAATAGGGGGGCAAAAGGGGGAGTGGGGGTTATTGCAGCTGGTGGTGAGACATGGTGGTTTTTGAGGCTTAGCAGTGGAGCTGAGCATCAGTAGGACTCACTAGGTGACTTAAAAGGGTGGAAGGGAAATGAAGAGTCAAGGGTGGCTCCATTTTCTAATTTACACAGCTAGGTGAAAATGGACAAGAGGCGGATTTGGGATGGCATGACAGGAATTTGTCTTGGACAGGTTGACACTGAGATGTGCATCAGGCTTCCAAATAGAGGCATTGGGTATCTGGCTTTGAAGTTCAGGGAAGAGGCAAGGTGGGAGATACCAGTCTGGGAGTCATCTACCTCCGGGCGCTATTGAAAGCAATTGGCCTGCATGAGGTCACCAGGGTTTAGTTGAAGGTAGAAAAGAGAAGAGTCTGGGAAGCTTGGGTTAGACTAGGGATGTGTCAAAACCATACCCACGGAAGAGTCTGGGTGGGGAGGATTACCTGCAGAGGATTACCAGAGGCTTCTTCTGGTAACAGACACTAGATTACAGGGCATGATGGCAGGAATCCTGATGGTTCCTTAGGGCAGGTGGATAATTGGTTGTAATTATGGCCTTCTTCTTGTCCCTAGCTCTCAGGAAGTTTGTATTAGCAAGGGCAGGGGGGAAGGTGCGGAATGTTGGAAGTGGGGGGTGCTCTACCTGGGGGGGACTGAGCTTCCCAACCAGGAAGCATGAGAGCGCCACCAGTCCAAGGGTCAGGGTCGCTCCCCTACAGGTTGAAGTCGGGCCTTTCTAGATCACCAGAGGCAGCACCAGAATGCGATGGAAAACAGGGACGCTGGATGTCAGCTACCATTTCTGTTATCTGTGAGTTCCCCGCTAGACACACGTGCAAAAGGCCTGTCTGTGTGCAGTTGGATCAGACACCCTTGTTTGGGTGCATGTGGTAAGTGGCAGTCAAATACTGCTGATCTGGTAGCTCTTCTTTCTCCATGACATCCATGTGCATGTCTATCTTTATTCTGATCTAGTATGTGCTGACATTACTGTTTGGATCTCAAGGAGCAATGGCGTTTCCTTTCCTTCCGAGTTCCCAAACAGGACCTCATCATGGGCCCCAAGTCCTGTCAGCTCACTTGAGAGGGTTTGTTGGACGGCTCCAAGGATCCTCAGACAAACCTGACCATGAAATAAAAAACAATAATGCAGCCAGGTAGTGATGTCAGGATGAGAGCCACCTAAGACAAGCATGGTGGCTTCTATACACACACACACACACGCAGCAAAAGGAAGATAAAGTCTTTTGGAATTGGATTCGTCTTTGTTGGCAAACCTTGGAGTCATGCTTCCTATTTTCTGATGCTTGTTCTTAAAACAGTTACTTGAACAGCATTGAATTATCTTCATAAGTAGGGCCTTTCTGCACCCTCCACATGACCCTACAATCAGACACCCTCCCCTACCATCTCCAACACAGCCTCTCCCACAGAACTGCAGAGTGAGGGTCAGACCAATGACGATGGTACCACGCCGAGGCCAGCAGTGGCACATGGCGCTTCTGCACAAAGCCACACTAGGAGGAGGCAAGGGTTTACTCTTCTGATCCCATTCTGTTTTTTTAAATATGGAACACTTCACGAATTTGCGAGTCATCCTTGCACAGGACCCATGCTAATCTTTTCTGTATCATTCCAATTTTAATGTATGTGCTGCCAAAGCCAGCACTCTGATCCCATTCTAAGACAACTTTGTGTATAGATCCATTAAACTCGCAAACAATACAGCAGAAAAGATGCTCAAGGTCCAACACAGTGCCTTAAACACAGAAGGCTTTAATATATGTTTGTTGAATGAATGCGTGATGAATGAGTCTGAGAACCAGAAACGGGTTCCTGTCCAGGTTCAGCCAACACTTCACCGTGTTACCTCTGTTGTCTCTTTGCCTCTTTGGGCTTGAGGTTCCTTATCTATAAAATGAGGATTGGACAATGTGACCTTTGAGGTCCCACCCAGCTTCATCAGCTTCTCACAATTAGATAATTAGCGCCTTTCAGTAGGGCAGACTGGAAGGGGTTAAAAGCACGGCCAGCAGACCAGGCAATCCAGGACAGGAGGTCCAGCTTTGTCACTTGGAGTAGGACATGACCAGTGCACTCAAGCTCTCGAGCTTTCCACACTTCCCAGTAACGAAGTTATTATAAGGATTGAATCAGATGCTACAGGAGTTTCTTATAGTGCCTGGTCCACAGTAACTATTTAATCATTGATAGATGTCACCATTATTGTGATGAATCAGAAAGAAGGCTTCTTGGAGAAGTCAGAACCTGAGCTGGAACGAGGTGGGGGAGGGAGTTTCATAAAGGAAAAGGGATCATATGAGCAAAGGCCTGGAAGCAGTGGAACAGGAGGGGTGTTGCAGGTTGGGGTGGGGGCTGCAGGGAGAAGACAATTAACCAGGTTGGAGTGTCCAGTAGAGAAGTCACAGCCCATGGGGCACACACGAGTGCCTGCTAAGTCAGGATCTCTAAGTAAAATTGCGCAAATGACACTAAAACTCTAAGCCCCTGAAACCTCCCTTCTTTCTAAATGTTCAAACTCTGGAGGAGGGATATAGAGCAAGTAACACTTGGCCATAGAATCGTTTCCTACACTGTCATTTTTTGAAAGTGAATTTAACTCCCTACATTTTATTTCATAGATATTAACTGACCACGACTTATTTGCTCACAGCCATGTCGTTAAAGAAGAACAAGATCTTGGAGAAGGGTTTTCTGAAGGGAAATGTTGAAGAAAGGAGAGAAGAGTCCAAGGCACCAAGTACTCCCCATGGAGTGGATAGACCAGGGAAGGCAGCAGAGTGGAGTTTAGAGCCCGCCGGGGTTTGTTCCTTTGGGGTCCTAGAGTTGTAAGTACCTGTAGTGAGCACAGGAAAAATGGTGGCTGCCTTGCTCTTCCCACCCTGTTTTTTAGGCTACACTACATGACACGGCCTCTTGCGTGGCCTCGGGCCGCAGGAAGCCCTGGGCACCTGGGATGCTAGGAAGAAGTCCATAAAGAGACCATTCCTAAGAAGAGGCAGGAGGGTGCCGTGGCAGTTCCTGTCAGCTCCCGATTTGGGTATTTCATCAGGGTAGAATTTGTGCTTGTCTGTGGGGTATTTTGACAGATATGCCCCCACTGTCTGTGCTGACCCATCAGCCCTGGCAGGTTTGATGCTGAAAACAAAACCTGAGTAGCTCTACCTTTATTGGGGAGTTTGTATGGGGTAACCCATAGCCCCAAGAAGGACCCTTGATGCCACTTACTTAGTACTATTATTTTCATAATAATACTAAGACATCATTTGCCTTTTCCTCTGTGTTGACATTTTTACTGATAGCACAAAGCATCCGTAGGTAAAACTGGTGCCTTAGCACAATCAAGGCAATAGTCATTGTATTCCCCACTGCATCCACTGACAAGGAAAAGAAGGAACTGCCACTTAAGAATGTCCTTGCTGGAGGTGTCTGGCTGGCTCAGTTGGTAGAGCATGCAACTCTTGATCTTGGGGTCATGAGTTTGAGCCCCATGTGGGGTGTAGAGATTACTTAAAAATAAAATCTTTAGGGGCACCTGGGTGGCTCAGTCTGTTGAGTGTCCGGCTCTTGGTTTCAGCTCAGGTCGTGATCATGGGTTGTGGGATTGAGCCCCACATTGGACTTTGTGCTCAGTGGGGAGTCTGATCATGAAACAAGGCAAAGTAAGACCCCTAGGGTCTGGCATATTGTAGGAACTAAGAAAAGAAAGAAGAGAAGAGAAGGAGAGAAAATTTAGTCTTTCCTATAGAAAGATTTTGCTTCCAAGATATGAAGCTTCTCTATTAGTAGATCTAAAATCATAATCTTTTTAATGCTATATGGATCATCTGTTAGACAATTTCAAGACCTCTAAGAAAGGAAATCTCTTCGTAAGAGATTTTAGGAGCTAGAGGGTTGTAAGTCTCAGGGTCATATGAGCTCCAGATTAATTCATCAACATGCAGAGTACCTGTTGTCTGCTCTGTAATTAGTATGGGGAGGAGGGTGGGAGGACTGTAAAGGGGGGAAAAATCTGTTTTAGGGGAAAATATGTTAATACATCTGAGCAGAACTATGATGAAGAACATGATCTAAAGTGATATGAGGTTCTGAGAGACATGTAGCATCCTGTAATAGAACTGAGAGTTTGGGGACACCTGGCTGGCTCAGTTGGTAGAGCAGGCAACTCTTGATCTCCGGAGTTGTGAGTCCAAACCCCACGTTGGGTGTAGAGATGACTTACAAATAAAATCTTAAAAAAAAAAGAACCGAGAGTTTGGCCTGGAGTTCTCCCAGACTTAATGCTTTTTAAGGAGAGTGTTGTGTTTGTGATTCGTGTTTTTTAATGAGATAATTGTAGATTCACATGCGGTTGTGAGAAATAATACAGAGAGATCCCCTGGACACTTCACCCAGTTTCCCCCAATGCTAACATCTTGCAAAACTGTAGCACAGTATCACAACCAGGATATTACCTTTGATACCATCCACCCATCTTATTCAGATTTCTTCAGTCTTATCTGTACCCATTTGTGTGTGTGCATTTAATTCTATACAGTTTTATCACATATTCGGGTGTCCACCACAGTCACCATGACAACCAATATTCTGTCTTCCATTTCTAAAGTTTTTTCATTTCAAAAGTGTTAGATAAATGGGAGCATACAGTATATAACTTTGGGATTGCCTTTTTTCACTTAGTGTAATTTATCCAAATTTTTGCACATCTCAGTACTTCCTTTTTATTGCTGACTGGTGTTCTATAGTATGGATCTACCACAGTTTGTTTAAACTGTTGGAGGACATCTGGGCTTTTCCCAGTTTGGGGCTATTACAAATAAAAGCTGCTGTGAGCATTCATGTAGTGGTTTTTGTGTGAATACACATTTTCATTTCTCTGGGAAATTGCCTGAGCGTCATTACTGGATCATATGGTAATAGCAGATTTAGTTTTGGGGGTTTTTTTCAGATTTAGTATTTGAAGAAACTGCCAAACTGTCTTCGAGAGCGGTTGGACCATTTTACATTCTTCGAAGCAATGTATGAGGGATCAGTTTCTCCACATCATTTAGTGTTAGTGACTATTGTAATGATAGTCACTATTTTTTATTTTCATCATGCTGATAGGTATGTAGTGATATCTCATTGAGGTTTTAATTTGCATTCCTCTGAAGGCTAATGATGCTGAACATCTTTTCACGTGTTTATTTCCATCTGTAGATCCTCTTCAGGATGGAAATGTCTCTCCATACATTTTGCCCATTTTCTAACAGGATTTTTTAACTGTTGAAAATGGTTTACATTGAAATGGAAATCTGCTTACTTTTGTCAATAGGGAGTCCATCTTGCAAAATTTATTTAAATGGAAGTCAGCTTTAGGGATGCCTGGGTGGCTCAGTCGTTTAGCATCTGCCTTCCGCTCAGGTCATGATCCCAGAGTCCTGGGATCAAGCATCGGGGATCCCTGCTCAGCAGGGAATCTGCTTCTCCCTCTCCCCCTGCCTGCTGCTCTCCCTGCTTGTGCTCTCTCTCGCTGTCAAATAAATAAATAAATAAAATCTTAAAAAAAAAAAAAGCTTTACCTCATAGCAATTTCAGAGGTGCTAAGGGTTGTTTATGACTACCTGGTGAGTACCAGTTTTTAAGATAGGATCAGAAAAAAATAAAGCAGGTGGACTCCCTAGATTCTTAGGATTTTACCCCCTTCTGGGGTTAATGCTTCACACACAGACACACACACATCCTTTCCACAGGTCTGCTGGTTCATATCCATTTCTTTCACCAAAAGGGTGTCAAGCCAGTATGAACTACCTCAGGTGAAGACATAGACTGAAGTGGCTTGTTTCAATCCAGAGCATCTATCTGCCCCTGTTCCATGGTGAGGACTTTTGAGGATCACCTGGGCACAGTTAGAGTGACTCAGACATGATTACCGGTTCCCTCTGTAGACTCTTCACCTCCAGAGGGGCACGTGGCCAGCAGGTGTGCTCAAGAGTCCAAAAGGAGGGTTAGACAAATGCCTCTGGGGGGGGGGGGGGGGGGTTGGAGGGTAAGGATTAGAGAGCAGACGTGTGGAGGAAGGCGGCTGCTGGGGAAGTCCTGTCCAGCTTTAGTCAGCAATCTCAAGCTTTCAATGCTCTTGGCCAACCTACCTTATCAAAGCTCTTAACGTATCAGCACAGGCCAGCACTCCACAACTTGGTAAGCTGCTCTAAGCCCGACAAAAGATTTTAAAAATATGTCTGAAAGTGCTCATTTCAAGTTTTGATTCCACTGTCTGCACATCCTTTGATGTCACATAAAAACTTTTGTCCCATTGACCTTGTCCTTCTGAACACGGTTCTACCATTTGCTCAGAGAAACCTAAGATGTCTGCTTTCTCCTTCAAAAAAAAAGAAAACTTTTCCTATTTCATTTTATATTTTCAGTTCCTTTTAGATGATAAGCTGACATTGAAGCACACTAATTGGTTATGTTATTTTTAAATGAATTTTTAATGGCAAATAATTTGTTCCATCTGGGAAAAGGCTGATGGCATTTTCAGCAACCAGGCACAAATCAAGATGGATTATTTCCAGCATTAAAAAAAAAAAAGAAAAAGTGTATTTAGATCCACATCTAAATACTGGTCGTTCAGTGTCAGCGGCATTTCCTGATCCTGAAGAGGGG